TCCCCTCCCCTCCCTTTTCCTTTCTTCTCCTTTTCTTTCGCTGTGTGCTATCTCTTTACCACTATCTGGAAAAGCTTGATTTGACTTCTTTTTTACAACTAATCTCTAAAATTTAGTTTTCTTAAATCTCTAATGATGAAGTCCAGCAGTGTCTCCAGGATGAGCTACATGCCTGTGGAGTACTTTGAGCATCTCTTTGGGTGTAGTCACTTATTTGGGTACCTGGCTCTTGCAGGCCTGGCTTCTTTCTCCTAACTCTTGTTTTTCATGGTTCTCCCCCTTTCTGCTTACTCCTGCTTCCCTTGAATTTCTTATACTTCTGGGTTCAGATGAGATTTGTCTCATAATCTTGGCACCCTAGTCTAGTCTCAGCCTTTCTAAAAAGTCATCTTAACATAGATACTATGTTCAGAAGTTTAAATTCTGATCATTTAGAAAATCAAAGTTGCAGATGCTCTAAGAAATTAGAGAGAGAGAGAGAGAGGGAGAGAGAGAGAGAGGAGGGAGAGAGAAAATTGATAGCCCTTTCTTTACCCATGTAGTTTATTTCTTTATACATGTAGACTCTCAGCTTCTTTCTTTTTGTGATTTTCAGCTTTTCAAGAGTTTCATCCCCCTATGCTTTGTGTTCATGAAGACAAGACAGAGCTCTAAAATTTTAGCTTTCTTGAGTCACTAGAGAGTCTTTTGTGCACACCTTCCCCTTCTGAAACAATTGATTTGTCTAGTTTCACAAAGAGCAGTATTTGTTTTAAAGGACCAGTTGGCATCAATACCCAAGAGCAGGTGTCCTAAAATATAAGATGGTGCTTCATTTGGAATCCTCAAGGTAGAGTAAAATAAATTACCAACATCTTGGCTCCATGCTCCATTCACAACTTTTAATTATGCTTCCATTCCTGAGGAGAGAGCTCCTGGCAGGGACAGCTGCTCCCATGTCTCAGACTGGGCTATGCTCCTCTGAGTAGGAGTCAGCAAGAGCAGCAGGATAGGGAGAAGGTGGTAGTGCATCAGAGAACCGAGCAGTGGAGGAGGAAACAGGATGGGCATCTCCCAAGTGCTTTTTAGATACTCCTTTAATCTTTGCGTGTATGCATGCATGGTTAACTAAGGAAGAAGGAAAATACTGACTTGAATTTTACTGAGAAAATTATCAAACCTGCTTTTACTCTTACATGTAGCTCATTTTCAAAAGTACTTTTGTGTATCACTGATATGTTGATGGTCCTATGCAGCAAGAGGTCTGTATGCTTGTCCAAAGAATGTCTAACAGTCCCACATCATGATTAGCAGAAGCTGGTTTGACAGGTGGAAAACTTGTCTTGAGTTGTCCTGTATTAGCTTACCTTCTAAACTGGAGCAAAAGTCAAGAATGAGACAAGGCATAGAACATGTTACATGATAAACACTCTTTTATTAGTGGCTTTTTGAGAGAAAGTTGCTGTGTTGTTCACTGCTGTTATTTTCCCTAGAACAGTGTTCACAAAAGTGAACAAAAGTTCAATGCTCAAAAGTTAAAGAGATTTAAAAATGGAGACTATCAGTAGCCATGTTGGGGCACCATGGTTAATAATGGAACTGGACAGAATTTTGTGCACTTGCCTACACAATTCTTTCTATAACTATGCCTGCTGTTCCTATCCTCTGATTTAATTTTCATGTGGGAAATAGTCATTTGCAGTCTATATTATGCTACAAATGTTGCCATCAAAACGTATAAATCTCTATGCTAGTCTCTCGTCTTTAGTACTAAGATGGCTCTATTGATGATAATGTAAACACATTTTAGGTTCCCAATTGCTTTTGGAAATAAGGAATTGTGACTTAGTGAATATGTGTCGCTTTTTCATAAAGAGAAACAGGGTTTCCATCATTTTTTAAAATTAAGGAATAATGGTCTTTTTTTATTCCAATTTTGAACACCTGGTATGTTTATTACTAATGTTGGATCACGTGCAGGAGAAAGTTAGACATTATTTTGTGACCAGCATTGTAAGTTGTGACATTCTAAACAAATCCCTTAAAGACTTGGAACTCATTTACATTTTGCATAAAATTCTGATAGGACTTTTTTTCTCTTTTTTTTAATTGCATTTTAGGTTTTGGGGTACATTTGAAGAACATGCAAGATTGTTGCATAGGTACACATGTGGCAGTGTGATTTGCTGCCTTCCTCCCCTTCACCTATTTATGATTTAAACTTTTACTATACTCTTTGTCTTACATTTATTAATTTCCTTATCAGGCTTAAAACTTGGGGAAAACTGGGCTTTTGCATAATATCTTTTTAGAACCATAAAATTTTATACAAAATCCTCCTCAAAAACCCTGAAATCCCTATATCTTTCAGAGCTCTTTAATAAAAACCTGGGGTGAATGTGAATTGTTTTTTGTTTTTGTTTCTGGCTTGTTTGCTTTTCTGAGACAGGGTCTCACTCCATTACCAAGGCTGAAGTGCAGTGACACAACAGCAGCTCACTGCAGCCTTGACCTCCCAGGCTCAAATGATCCTCCTGCTTCAGCCTCCTAAGTAGCCAGGACCACAGGTGCATGCCACTGTACCTGGCTAATTTTAAAATATTTTGTAGAGATGGGGTCTCACTATGTTACCAGGGATGGTCTCAAACTCCTGGTCTCAAGTGATCCTTTTCCCTTCACTTCCCAAGGTGCTTGGATTACAGGTGTGAGCCACTGCACCCAGCCTGTGAATGTGATTTGAGTTGCCAAAGTATGTCTTAAAAAATTGTTGGTTTAAGTGTGACTTGGAGCAACATTGAGCTAGGGAAAGGAAATACATATAAAATCATGCCAGTGGCCAGGCGAGGTGGTTCAAGCCTGTAATTCCAACACTTTGGGAGGCAGAGGTGGGTGGACCACCTGAGGTCAGGAGTTTGAGACCAGGCTGGCCAACATGGTGAAACACCATCTCTACTGAAAATATAAAAATTAGCTGGGTGTGGTGGTATGTGCCTGTAATCCCAGGTACTGGGAAGGTTGAGGCAGGAGAATTGCTCGAACCTGGGAGGCAGAGATTGCTGTGAGCCAATGTCATGCCATTGCACTCTATCCTGGGTGATAGATTGAGACTCTGTCTCCAGAAAAAAAAAGCCAGTGATTCTGGAAGATTCCAAAGGACAGTACTTTTCGCATACTGTGGGAGAAAGAGGAGGCTTGAATTCTTAACTACCAAAACAATGTCTGGCACAAAATTGATCACTCAGTAACTATTGTTGAATGCTGAGATTTAAAGGAGAAGAACATCATTAGAGCCCTCTCCTTTTTTCCCCTCTTTTCTCCATAAAGGTTGAAAAAAAAAATGGAAGACCAAAAGACTGAACAAGATGGTATCAAACCAGAAGATAAAGCTCATAAGGCTGCAACCAAAATTCAGGCTAGCTTCCATGGACACATAACAAGGAAAAAGCTCAAAGGAGAGAAGAAGGATGATGCCTAAGCTGCTGAGGCTGGTGCAAGTAAGAAGAAGGATGAAGCCCCTGTTGCCGATGGGGTAGAGAAGAAAGGAGAAGGCCCCACTACTACCGAAGCAGCCCCAGGCACCGGCTCCAAGCCTGATGAGACCGACAAAGCAGGAGAAACTCCTTCTGAGGAGGAGAAGGGGGAGGGTGATGCTGCCACAGAGCAGGCAACCCCCCAGGCTCCTGAATCCTCAGAGGAGAAGGCCAGCTCAGCTGAGACAGAAAATGCCACTAAGGCTTCCACTGATAACTTGCCGTCTTCCAAGGCCGAAGATGCCCCAGCCAAGGAGGAGCCTAAACAAGCCGATGTGCCTGCTGTTGTCACTGCTGCTGCTGCTGCCACCACCCCTGCTGCAGAGGATGCTGCTGCCAAGGCAACAGCCCAGACTCCAACGGAGACTGGGGAGAGCAGCCAAGCCAAAGAGAAGGTAGGTGAGTAACCTCGAGGGTCAGATGCAGTGGGTGGATGGGGAGGGGAGTTGCTATTCAAAATGCCGGGCAACCTGGGTTATCAAGGGAGAGGAAACAGTCTAGAAAGTGTTTTCCAGAAATCAAGGGAAGCTGGGCTTAATTTCCCAAAGAGACAGGACTACGAGCTAAGGTTACATTCCCAAATATCTCCAAGCCTGAGAGAGGACTCAGGCAGGTCTATGTAGCAGCCAGTCCAAGAAAATCTGGCAGTTATCTTAATTGGATTGATATACACAGTTGAACCAGATAAAACTGCTTTAAGAAAGTATTCTGTGTGCTGATAGACTTAGTTTAATACATAATTACTGACGATACATATATTTTATGGATGGGAATTAGCCAATGTGATTATTTGGCTCTAGGAAATGCCTGGTATAAATACAGCCAACGTCTTCTTGATCCAGATTATCTAGTGTATGAATTGCTGGCAGCAAAAGTATAATCTCAGACCACCCTTTCCTATCTCACAATATGTTTCTGGGCATTCTCTCCACCATCAGTTGGTGAGTAGTGTGTGTATATGTGGGTATCCTCAGAGAATGTTAATTGTTACATTAATTGGGGTCAAACATAATTAGGAAAATAAGTCTGTTGATGTTGCCAAAAACAAAAGAAAAACCCCCAATACAGAACATGCTGTGAAGTCAAACATAAATTATCATTTTATTGAAGACACAACTTTCTACAATTTGCATAAATAATTGAGGGTTCCTATGATTACAAAAAGGTACTGGATTCTCTTCAGTTTGGAGCTGTAACTTGAAAGTTGCAGTGTTTTCACTATTACTGCTCAATTGTGCAGAATTGGAATGGAATATTCCCAGATCAAAATAAATTTAACAGAGCTTCATCCCTAGAGACTAGATCCCTCCCTCACCCCAATACATCCACAGTGGTAAAGGAGGCCAACAGTTTCCATGATCTTTCTCTAGTCTAATATGACCCAGCCTCAAGTATTCATAGATACTTAATGTTCCTCAAAGATAAAGTTTCTTCTGTGTCCATTTAAAAGATTGGATTTACTCCTGTACAAGCACCTGGGTTTAACCAATGATGTTTGTCATCCAAGGGTTCAAATATGGACTGAACAGTGTGCTCCCTGGAGAAAACCTACTCCATGAGAGTGGTCTGAGAAATGGTTTGGCATCTGAGCGTCAGATTGAGAAAGTAACGATTGGACATTTACCTTGATATATGTTTCT